ATATTATAAATTAATGATACTGACACTGATAAATAATTAACTTTTCCGTCGTGAAATCTCGTCTCAGGTGAGACAGGATGAATCATACCTTTGCCGGATACTCTCCGTGGAAATTGCCTCCTGATAAGATTTCATGCCTCTCAGGGAATACCAACTACCACACTGATTAAGAAACAACAACATTCAATAAAGCTCCCATCAAATCGAATATCGTGATAACAGTCTTGGATGGTGGGGTTCATAGTCGAGAACTATAGGTGTGTTTGAATGATTGTCATTAAAATAGTCATTAAACAATGAAATATGCATGCAATGTGATCAACATCAAGGATACAGGGTTGTCGGTTGAAGAATTCATTTCGGTAGTCAGAATTCCGGCAACAAAGTCAATTGTGTCATTCGCAATACCATGGACCTGGAAAACAGATATATTGTTTTGTAGTTAATTAATTGTAACCATGATTATCAGTAGTCCAAATTTACATTACCGAAGGTGGAACAACACATGTTCTCATTTCATTCCACAATAATTGAGCTATAATATTGTTACAATCTTACGAACTGTTGATATAAATGTCATAGATTATGGACGTATGGACACTCGCAGTGCTAAAAGATGTGTTGGCAGTCTTTGCTTCACACTTGTAAAATGTAATCAATAGAAGAACTGCAGTGCTAGTGATTTCAGTGTTAGATACGTCCTCTAAGGAGCAATAGATACTATTTCCAACAAATTGTTCACACAGGCTTTAGTGAGTAGCGCCAACATGCGGCCATATATACCTGTGGGATACATCTGAGCGAATAGTTGTCTTGAACCTTCTTGTGTGACTCATAATGCTCAAATATCTCGGAAGGAAACACCTCGGAATGGATGAGCGATCTAAATCTGCGTGCTACTTTCACTTGACCAGTATGTGGTCTTGCTGCATGGATATCTGTATATACAACGTATATTTATGTGAAGTTCATAATCAGCTAGAAACATAACACTGAAATTTGCAGGCAAAAATCTAATTAACAGTGTATCAGTATATTTGGGTTAAATATATTGACTGAAATTTTTTATTGGCGAACTATTTGTTTATAACTATTGCTTTCTGTTAATGGTTTTTTAATTTCAAATTTGAAAGACAATATTTAATAATGCACAAAACCCCAAAACAAAATTCACTCAAAAATGTAATCAACATTGTGTATGTATTCTCTGCTATCTACTATCCGTTTTAAATGAACTTGTTATTGGGAAATTTCTATTCTAAATTACATCTGTATAGCTGTCTTACAATAAATAGCAGTCTGGGGCTGCAATTCCTAAGGTGCCCTACCTTCTATTGCAATGTAATTTTCACACTCAAAGATTCGTTTAAAATATGACACAAAAACCTCAAAATTTGTCTTTTTATTTGTTTTTATTTTACAGAAATATTCATGTGAACCCGTGAAAACAAATAAATTCACCAGTAATGTTTCACTTGTGTCAGAGATTATCATGCACGATCTACTTGGGACTGCTTTTTGAGTAGATCAATCCGCCCAGAACAAAATCTCTTGGTGTGTTTTCTTCAATTGTTTACATTCACATACATACTATTACACAACAATCGTCACACATACATACAGTGCTAAACGTGATTTCACTTACCAGCGTCAAAAGCAGCGTCGGTGCCTTTGAACACATCCAAAGTTATGGCTGCAACCACATCGGCTTGTCTGGCAATAGCTTTTGCTTTTTCCAAAGCTGAAACGAGAAAACAAGACAATACATACTGAAGATCACGTCAGTATGAGATTGAACACTCTTTAACGACACCGATTTATGAAAGACACTGGATATGCAATCGTATGTATTAATACATTATGAGTAACGAACCTAATATTCCAATGGCTGTTATCAACTGGGCACCATTGATGAGACTTAAACCCTGTGAAGAAATATAAAATTCTTGGCGTGAACATTAGATGTTACGTATACGTAGACTTGTAATTTGAATCTAATAATGTGCTGTTTATTAGAACAAAATGAACATACGAACAGCATGGCAAGAAATATTTTACCTCTTTGGGGCCAAGTTCTATCGCCTTCAGTCCATGCGATTCCAGTACCTATGAGAACAAATAGTTATTGTAATCAATTGTACAACTGATTTGATGATAATCCTAAATGAAAATGATTATCGTAGTTAACTTTGTAAAAGGTTATCAAGGTCAACCTGGACCTTCACAAGTGGCTATACTGGTTAACCTGGATCTTTACAGACGGATATATGGTTAACCTGAACGTTTAAAGATGGTTACCATTACTAACCTGGGCCTTTTTAGATGGTTATGGTTAACCTGAACCTTTAAAGATGGTTATTATGGTTAATCTGGACTTTTAAAGATGGTTATCATTACTAACCTGGGCCTTTTTAGATGGTTATGGTTAACCTGAACCTTTAAAGATGGTTATTATGGTTAACCTGGATTTTAAAGATGGTTATCATTACTAACCTGGGCCTTTTTAGATGGTTATGGTTAACCTGAACCTTTAAAGATAGTTATTATGGATAACCTGGACGTTTAAAGATGGTTATCATTACTAACCCAGGCCTTTTTAGATGATTATGGTTAATCTGGACTTTTAAAGATGGCTATCATTACTAAACTGGGCCTTTTTAGATGATTATGGTGAATCTGGAATGTTAAAGATGGTTATCATTACTAACCTGGGCCTTTTAGATGGTTATGGTTAATCTGGACTTTAATGATGGTAATAATTACTAATCTGGGCCTTTTAGATGGTTATGGTTAATCTGGACTATTGAAGATGGTTATCATTGCTAACCATGGCCCTATTAGATGGTTATGGTTAATCTGGACTTTTAAAGATGGCTATCATTACTAACCTGGGCCTTTTAGATGGTTATGGTTAATCTGGACTTTTAAAGATGGTTATCATTACTAATCTGGGCCTTTTAGATGGTTATGGTTAATCTGGACTTTTAAAGATGGTTATCATTACTAACCTGGGCCTTTTTAGATGGTTATGGTGAATCTGGAATGTTAAAGATGGTTATCATTACTAACCTGGGCCTTTTAGATGATTATGGTTAATCTGGACTTTTAAAGATGGTTATCATTACTAATCTGGGCCTTTTAGATGGTTATGGTTAATCTGGACTTTTAAAGATGGTTATCATTACTAACCTGGGCCTTTTTAGATGGTTATGGTTAATCTGGACTTTTGAAAATGGTTATCATTGCTAACCTGGGCCCTATTAGATGATTATGGTTAATCTGGACTTTTAAAGATGGTTATCATTACTAACCTGAGCCTTTTAGGTGGTTATGGATAATCTGGACTTTTAAAGATGGTTATCATTACTAACCTGGGCCTTTTAGATGGTTATGGTTAATCTGGACTTTTAAAGATGGTTATCATTACTAACCTGGGCCTTTTTAGATGGTTATGGTTAATCTGGACTTTTGAAGATGGTTATCATTGCTAACCTGGGCCCTATTAGATGATTGTGGTTAATCTGGACTTTTAAAGATGGTTATCATTACTAACCTGGGCCTTTTAGATGGTTATGGTTAATCTGGACTTTTAAAGATGGTTAACATTACTAATCTGGGCCTTTTAGATGGTTATGGTTAATCTGGACTTTTAAAGATAGTTATCATTACTAATCTGGGCCTTTTAGATGGTTATGGTTAATCTGGACTTTTAAAGATGGTTATCATTACTAGCCTGGGCCTTTTTAGATGATTATGGTTAATCTGGACTTTTAAAGTTATCATTACAAACCTGGGCCCTATTAGATGGCTATGGTTAATCTGGACTTTTAAAGATGGTCATCATTACTAACCTGGGCCTTTTTAGATGATTATGGTTAATCTGGACTTTTAAAGATGGTTATCATTACTAACCTGGGCCTTTTAAATGGTTATGGTTAATCTGGACTTTTAAAGATGATTATCATTACCAACCTGGACCCTTTTTAGATGATTATGGTTAATCTGAACTTTTAAAGATGGTTATCATTACTAACCTGGGCCTTTTAAATGGTTATGGTTAATCTGGACTTTTAAAGATGGTTATAATTACTAACCTGGGCCCTATTAGATGGTTATGGTTAATCTGGACTTTTACAGATGGTTATCATTACTAATCTGGGCCTTTTAGATGGTTATGGTTAATCTGGACTTTTAAAGATGGTTATCATTACTAACCTGGTTCTTTTAGATGGTTATGGTTAATCTGGACTTTTAAATATGCTTATCATTACTAACCTGGGCCCTATTAGAAGGTTATGGTTAATCTGGACTTTTAAAGATGGTTATCATTACTAACCTGGGCCCTATTAGATGGTTATGGTTAATCTGGACTTTTGAAGATGGTTGTCATTACTAACATGGGGCTTTTAGATGGTTATGGTTAATCTGGACTTTTAAAGATGGTTATCATTACTAATCTGGGCCTTTTAGATGGTTATGGTTAATCTGGACTTTTAAAGATGGTTATCATTACTAACCTGGTCCTTTTAGATGGTTATGGTTAATCTGGACTTTTAAATATGCTTATCATTACTAACCTGGGCCCTATTAGAAGGTTATGGTTAATCTGGACTTTTAAAAATGGTTATCATTACTAACCTGGGCCCTATTAGATGGTTATGGTTAATCTGGACTTTTGAAGATGGTTTTCATTACTAACATGGGGCTTTTAGATGGTTATGGTTAATCTGGACTTTTAAAGATGGTTATCATTACTAACCTGGGCCCTATTAGATGATTGTGGTTAATCTGGACTTTTAAAGATGGTTATCATTACTAATCTGGGCCTTTTAGATGGTTATGGTTAATCTGGACTTTTAAAGATGGTTATCATTACTAATCTGGGCCTTTTAGATGGTTATGGTTAATCTGGACTTTTAAATATGGTTAACATTACTAACCTGGGCCCTATTAGATGGTTATGGTTAATCTGGACTTTTAAAGATGGTTATCATTACTAATCTGGGCCTTTTAGATGGTTATGGTTAATCTGTACTTTTAAAGATGGTTATCATTACTAACCTGGTCCTTTTAGATGGATATGGTTAATCTGGACTTTTAAAGATGGTT